TCCTCAAGCGCAAGGTGCTATGTGACGCCACACTAAGTGTTACTCTTGACTTCTCTTCAGCGTTCGTCTTGACTGTGTGAATCTTCGTCGTTTTGCCAACTAAACTACCAAAAGCTGTAGATTAACCGGTTTGTCATTTATTACCCTTCTTTGTACATTAATGATCCATTTAGAAGAAAATGGTGCTGGGGCCATCGTTTAAAGTAGCGGATCGGATTTTAAAATTCGATTAGACAGCAAATATGTTTAAGTCGTCGTGGATTTGCGCCATTGCCTTGCACGGAATTTTTAAGCTTCAGTATTTAAAAAAAATTAAAGCGGTACACCCCAACATCTGGACATTACAAGAAACGGCCAGGAGTTAGCGCCTTGGCTTGGGAGCAATACATGTACCATCATTTACACGATTTCTATTTTATGGACCTAAACCCCTTTCCGACTTCTATCCGGGGTATGTTCATCATCATGCCCAACAGGGCGAGATTGGACACTCAAGTGTGTCACTAATAACAGATCATTTCTGAGTATTGTCATTTTCCTAGGACAAAAATCACAGTTTAACTTATGTTCAATAATTGGCAACAAAGAACCGGTAGCCCCTTTTTGAGAAAAAAATCTGTTATATCAGACATTTCGCACATAAGCCGGAGTGTTTAGAAATTTTGTGTCCTTTTCGCTGATTCTAGGGGCAAACTCCGTCGTATTTGAGCGAATTTTGGTTCTTTTTTCAAGGACAAAAAAAGTTGGGACAATGTACCGTAAAATTGGCAATACAATGATTGGGGTACTGTAGTAACACGGATGGTACCCACTGGCGAATGTGTTCAACGACATTTACATGTTCCATGAATTTGCCCATCGCTGGTTTTGGGTCGATGCCCAATTTAACAGGAAATTTGCAGCGAGGACAGTATCTGAAACGGCGTGACTGCAATTGACGTCGACAAGGCATGACGCCATCCCACTGACATTCTCAGGCTGACCACTTCAGTAAAACTGCATAATAGTGGCCCACTGTAGTAGACCGTCTACATCATTAAAATAGTTGTGGCGGGACTTCAGCTGCTAAACGACGCTCATAGCGAGCTTTAAAGCGTTAACAAGACTACTACAATAATTTATTCTCAGGTACCGGTTGCCACGGTGCCACTTCAGCCCCATATCGTCAGCTCAATCCTAAGAGAAGATGCACATGTATCTCTTCACCGGAATGAAGGTCAAAGGGAGGTGCCGAAGCACTTAACACCTTGCTTACGAACGTCGTATAAGACGACATATTATTTTTGTTACGTCGTATATTACGACATTGCACGAAGGTCATTAGCAAATGGCTCGGAAAAGTTTTTTCAATACTTTAATCAAGTTACCACAAAAATATAATCTGCGAGAGGTCATTTTGCTACAAGTCAAAACCAGGCCAGGGGAAGGGGATCAGCCACGCCGTGAACAGCCACTCATTCGACATTTTGCTGGATGGTGCGCATACGGAATAGTCGACGCGAGAAGCCCGCCGCGCCGGCTGCCGCTACACACGATATTGACTTTGGCCACTTATGGCGGCAGCTTCGGGCGGCGGGGTGGAAGTCCAAGCGTCCGAGTGGCCTCCAGACTGAGTGGAGCTACTCGAGTCCTGACAACACGCACGTCTTCGTGGGGGAGAAATCAGTCGTGGACTACGCGTTCGACAGTGGCTTGCTGGAAGAGGCGGATGCTGATGCTCAAGTCCGAGATGAAGAAGGTGGGGAACTAGACCAAGCAGGAGCTGGTAGTAGTGGTGAAGAGCAACAACACGAGGGGGAAGACGTCGTTCGGCCTTCCCAGATCGACACGAGTGTCCTTCTTTCGCAGCATACCATTGATCGAATGTTCGGCACCCCAAGTGATGATGACATCGAGCTGTCGCAGACTGCAGTGAGCAGAGCATTCAATCTATCCTCAGAAAATCTACAAGACGGCGGTGCCCGCGAGGCCGCTGCTGGACTGCATTTACTTTCGGAGGCTTCTGGATTAGAGAGCGAGGGTGATGTAGACGAAGAAGAAGCCGCTGCGTCTCAACCTCGACGACGGACACTTACGCCGTTATCAGGCAAAGAGGACGTGAATGTTTTGCTGGATGGGGAGAAGCCGAGTGACTACGAGAACTACAGCTCGGGTGATAGCGACGACGACGGCATGAGTGATATTAACAGCGATTCCGGAGCCGGGATGTCCGAGGAAGATGACGACGTCCTGTCCGACAGTGACGCAGTTGAAATGGACAAGGCTTTCATTGCGGCACTACAGGTGGGCAATAACGCACTTAGCAGAACCGCTGCAACGGAGAGAGAGCAGACACTACGAGGAATGCAGTGGACGCCAGTGTCTTCGGAGTACGAGACAGATGCTGCTGCGTACCCTGGACTGGGCACCGAAGAAGCAAGGCCTGTGCCCGACCTGCTGCAATTATGGAGATCGCCAATCCTCACCTTCTTTTATTTCATGCCGAAATCTCTGTGGTTTTCTATCGCGGCTGAAACGAACCGATATGGTCTACAGCAAGCTGGCAAGCGCGCCCGTAACATTCAGGCACGGCAGACTGACCTTCGGCGTGAAACTATCAAGCAGATTACACGTCGTTTGAAGGCTAAGGCAGCATACTCTACACACGAGATTCTTCACGTTGTTGGACTCCTCGTTGCACGGATGCTCTGCCCTCAAAAGAAACGATTTGGTGCGCACTGGAGTATGGTGGAAGACGGTGCTGTTCCCGCCGGTCTTTTCGGGCGGTTCATGACGCGTGACAGGTGCCAGAGTATCATGCGAGACTTGCACTTCGTAGACAACACGATTGACCACGGTAACGATAAACTCTGGAAACTTCGCCCCGTTGTTGACAAGGTCCAAGAGCGCTTTTTGCTGGGGTGGTCTCTTTCTGCTATTTTTTCGTTTGATGAGGGTATACTGCCGTCCACGTCGAAGCGGAACACGACCCGGATGTTCATGGCCGACAAGCCTCACCGCTACGGGTCCAAACTATTTATGGTCTGTGACGCGCAGACGGCATACTGCCACAGGTACGTTTAAAATTTGTATGTCGTAACTATCTACTTTGTGTTTGCCTGACAACAGTGAATGTCGTAACTATCTAGGTTCGAAGTTTATGTGGGTAAGCGTGCATCTGCTGGTGGACCTGACACCTCAGTTGACTTTAAGACTGGAGCTGCAGCCGTGGTCCGGAATTTGAAGATTGTTCTCGCCCAGTCTCGTCACAAGTGGCATACCGTCGTAATCGATCGCTACTACTCGTCCGTGCTCCTTGCGATTGAGCTCCTGAGTATGAAGGTGTATGAAGGTGTATGTTATTGGCACGATCATGACTAACCGGCTTGGATTCAACCCGAATCTCAGGGCTACGAGCAAGACACGCCCAGTGAGCATACCCCACGGTACATTCTCGTTCTCTCGCTCTATCGCCATCCCGACCATGATTTCCTGTGTTTGGTGGGACCGGAAGCCCGTCTATTATCTCTGTACGGGCTCCATAATGGCGGCGTCGACAATTGAGCTAAAAATAAAACGTATCGGTGCGGTTCGAGTGCTGTGCCCCTCTGCTGTATATGACTACCAGAACTGGATGAGCGGAGTTGATGTCCACGATCAACTCCGTCTCCAGTCGTATTCACTGCAAATGTCGACGAGGTACACGAAATATTATAAGAGCCTATTCTTAGGTTTGCTGGACATGGTCATGGTAAATGCGTATCTTACGCACAAAGAGGGGCCCAAGATCAAGGGGATGGGCTGCTATGAAGCGCTCAGAGTGGTTTTGCGTCCTTCAAACTCAACTTCTCCAACTCAAAGCCGAAGATTTTGCTGGAGTGGAGGCAACACCGCCTCCTGCGAGCCAAAAGCGCCAGCGCACCCCAGTACGCCTCACGCACGCGCTGCAGCAGTCTGAAGATTGGGTTACCGTTACTGGGGTCCAGAAACGCCGGCAGAGATCGTGCAAGGTCTGCGCGCTCTTGCGTACTGAAAAGAAGAAGTCCTTCGCAACAACGTTCTTTTGCGAACGCTGCTCCGTTGATAATGCGAAATGCTGGTTGTGCAACCGTATTCGACGGGAATACAAGGGCGTTGCGAAGACATGCTATGATATCTGGCATGATGACTTCGACGCCGGGCAAGCTATCCCACCAAACTTAGGGAAGCGCATTGTGCTCCGTCGGCCCGGCCAGAAAGCTGGCCAAAGAAAGAAGACGCGACGGGAACTTCGACTTGGGCACGATGCTGGCAGCGACGACGGCAACGGTGGTGACAACGAGAATGGTAGTGATGACGAGTGAGCTTGGTTGCGTGTCAGTTGATTAGTGATTTGTTTCAAATACACAGCTTCTTGAACCATCGTACCTTCGTCCTTGCGTTTCTTGATTTAAGTGGACTGCCTGTGAAGCAATTTAGCCATCTGTTGACTGCACTTGCAGTCAGTTACGACATTGAGCAGGCAATACTGTCGCTGAATCCCGTCAGAGTTACGACATTGAAAGAAAAACCTGTTGAAAATTAATGCACCTAACCTCACGTCAAAAAGTGCACCCATACAAATACGTAGTAACATTGATATACCGTATCTTACGACATGCGCTTACGCGTTCTGGGCAAGTACCGTCCGGACGCAAGGTGTTAATTGATCGCTGATCCTTTTATTTTTCGATACAGTGTACCAATGCCATCATCACATCGCTGGTTTTGGGTCGACGCCCAATTTAACCGGAAGTCATCATACCTCGTCTCTACTATTATGCCTCTCTCCACTAAAGAGCCATAAACGAGTCTAGTTTTGGGTAGCCCCGTTCACTATTCTAGGGTCTGATGATGCCAATCATCTACCAGTAGTCGAACCTTCAACGACATACAGTACATGTACCGCGATGTCCTCGTACATGTGCACCTCCATCCAAGTCATTCTGGAATTTCCCGTCTACCTGCTACCACCAACCGAGTCAGCGTCCAAGGGATCTACCATGGACTCGCCCGTCGCCACCGCGGAGCTCAGTTACGAGTCGGGCAAGACGCTTATGGCCAAAGGTCCGCAAGTGTTGCACGACGTCATGGCCACCAAGATCCCTGCTGCAACGGGACGTCCTCTACCGGAGATGGAAGTGCGCTTCAGTAACCTCTCTTTATCGGCCGACATCGTGGTAGCCGACGACCATGCCACTAAGTACGAGCTTCCTACGATCCCAAACGAGCTCAAGAAGACGCTTATGGGTCCCAAGAAGCTCACAGTCCGTAAGGAGATCCTCAAGAATGTCAGTGGTCGCTTCGCTCCGGGCAAGATCACGTTGCTATTGGGTCAGCCGGGCTCTGGCAAGTCGGCCCTTATGAAGATTCTAAGTGGTCGATTCCCTATGAGCAGAAATATTACTATGGAGGGGGACATCTCCTTCAACTCCGTCGCTCATAAAGACATCGTGGATCGCTTGCCTCAGTTCGTGTCCTATGTGAACCAGCGAGACAAACACTTCCCCACGTTGACCGTCAAGGAGACGCTCGAGTTCGCGCACACTTTCTGCGGTGGGAACTTGCTGGAACAGGGCAAAGGGATGCTCGAGATGGGCCAGCACCGCAGTACCGACGCCGACGCTCTGCAAGCCACTAAGAAAATCTTTGCACACTACCCGGAGATTGTGATTCAACAGCTGGGCCTTCAAATCTGTCAGGACACTATAGTGGGTGACAATATGTTGCGTGGTGTGTCGGGTGGCGAACGGAAACGTGTGACGACTGGCGAGATGGAGTTCGGCATGAAATACATTTCGCTTATGGACGAGATCAGCACGGGGCTCGACAGTGCAGCCACGTACGACATCATCAGCACGCAACGTAGTGTGGCTCATCGCCTACGTAAGACCGTGGTGATCGCACTACTGCAACCGTCTCCCGAGGTGTTTTCCTTATTCGACGACGTCATGATCTTGAACGAAGGGGAGCTGATGTACCATGGGCCTTGTAGCGAGGTGGAACTGTACTTTGAGACTTTGGGCTTCAAGTGTCCACCGGGGCGTGACATCGCCGACTACTTGTTGGATTTGGGTACAAAGCAACAGTATCCTTACCAGGTGGCTAGTCACCCTACCAAACAGCCACGTAGTCCCAGTGAGTTCGCGGATAGTTTCAGTCAATCTCGGATCTACCGCAACACTTTGGCGGCTCTGGAAGCTCCGTACGACCCGAAACTGGTCGACAGTGTCAAAGACATCATCGACCCCATGCCCTTGTTCCACCAATCAGTGTTCGCCAGTGTCTTGGCTCTCCAATGGCGTGCGCTCTTGATCACGTACCGTAACAAGGCCTTCGTGATGGGCCGACTGATGATGGTACTTATCATGGGCTTACTGTACTGCACCATCTTCTACGACTTCGACCCCACCCAAATCGCTGTAGTCATGGGTGTCATCTTCGCTACCGTCATGTTCCTATCTATGGGACAAGGTTCCATGATCCCCGTGTACATCGCTGGGCGCGATATCTTCTACAAACACCGTCGTGCCAACTTCTTCCGGACGGGCTCCTATGTCCTGGCAACTACCGTAAGTCAGATCCCCTTAGCTTTAACCGAGACCGTCATCTTCGGATCCATCGTGTACTGGGTCTGTGGCTTCGCGTCGGATTTCAAGCTGTTCATCATCTTCGAACTGGTGCTCTTCTTGTCCAATCTGGCGATTAGGATGTGGTTCTTCTTCCTCGCTGGCGCTCTACCGGATGCTAACGTGGTGATGCCGGTGGGGATGTCGTCCATCCTGGTGTTTATTATCTTCGCTGGGTTCATTGTGACCAAGGCTCAGATCCCGGATTACCTCATCTGGGCGCACTGGATCAGTCCCATTGCTTGGGCTCTCAAGGCCTTGGCTATCAACCAATACCGGTCCGATGACTTTGACGTCTGCGTCTATGGAGATGTGGACTACTGTACGAAGTATAACGGGATGACTATGGGCGAGTACTATTTGGACCTGTTCGGCATGGAGACGGAGAAGAAGTTCATCGCGTACGCCTTCGTCTACCTCATCGCCGTGTACGTGTTCTTCATGTTCTTATCGTACTTAGCGATGGAGTTCATCCGGTACGAGACTCCGGAAAATGTCGATGTGTCGGTTAAGTCGATTGAAGACGAGAGCTCGTACGTTCTAGCTGAGACGCCCAAGGGGAAGACCGGGAACGCGTTAATTGATCTCCTGGTTGCAGCTCGTGAGCAGAACTTCGTACCGGTTACCGTCGCGTTCCAAGATTTGCACTACTTTGTTCCGAATCCGAAGAATCCCAAGGAACAGCTCGAATTACTTAAGGGTTCGCTGTTCCTGGCTCCATCACGGCATTGATGGGTTCTACTGGAGCGGGTAAAACGACGCTGATGGATGTGATTGCTGGTCGTAAAACTGGCGGCAAAATCACGGGAAAGATCATGTTGAACGGCTACGAGGCTTCGGATCTGGCTATTCGACGCTGTACGGGGTACTGTGAGCAAATGGACGTGCATTCCGAAGCGGCGACGATCCGAGAAGCCCTGACTTTCAGCTCCTTCTTACGTCAAGATGCCTCGGTTTCCGACGCCAAAAAATACGATTCTGTTACGGAATGTATCGAGTTGCTCGGACTGGAAGATATCGCCGACCAGATCATCCGAGGCAGCTCGGTGGAGCAGATGAAGCGCTTGACTATCGGCGTGGAGCTGGCTGCACAGCCCAGTGTCATTTTCCTGGATGAACCCACGAGCGGATTGGACGCTCGCTCGGCAAAAATCATCATGGACGGCGTCCGCAAGGTGGCCGACTCCGGACGGACCCTCATCTGTACGATCCACCAACCTTCGGCTGAAGTGTTCTACCTGTTCGACCGACTTTTGTTACTACAACGTGGTGGACAGACGGCGTTTTACGGAGATCTGGGCGAGAATTGCCGGAATTTGATCGATTACTTTGAGAACATCCCGGGTGTGGCTCCGCTTTCGGTTGGGTACAACCCGGCGACGTGGATGTTGGAGTGTATTGGCGCAGGTGTCGGACATGGAACCGAAGACTTGATGGACTTTGTGAGTTACTTTAAGAACAGTCCGTACAACCAGCAGCTGAAGACGAATATGGCCAAGGAAGGCATCATGACGCCGTCTCCGGAACTTCCCGAAATGGTCTTTGGTAAGAAACGTGCTGCGGACTCGAAGACCCAAGCGAAGTTTGTGATTTGGCGCTTCTTCCAGATGTATTGGCGTACACCGAGCTATACGTTGACGAGGATGTACTTGTCTATCTTCCTGGCCATGCTTTTCGGATTGATCTTCGTGACCAATGACGATTACGCATCGTATTCCGGACTCAACTCCGGAGTCGGAATGGTCTTTATGTCCGGATTCTTCAGTTCTATGGCAGTGTTCCAGAGTGTCATGCCGTTGACGTGTCTGGAGCGAGAATCATTCTACCGTGAGCGTGCATCGCAGACGTACAATGCCTTCTGGTACTTCATGGCGTCGACGCTAGCCGAGATCCCGTACTGCTTTGTGAGCTCTCTGATCTTCACTGCCATCTTCTACTACTTCGTGGGCTTCACTGGCTTCGCTACCTCGGTCGTATTCTGGCTTGCATCGGCGCTTCTTGTGCTCATGTTCGTGTATCTGGGCCAGTTATTCGCGTACGCCATGCCGTCCGAAGAAGTCGCACAGATCATCGGAATTTTGTTCAATAGCGTCCTAATGATGTTTATCGGATTCAGTCCACCCGCGTACGCTATTCCGTCGGGCTATACGTGGCTGTACGACATCTGTCCGTTCAAGTTCCCCATCGCCATCCTGGTCGCGCTGGTGTTCGCGGACTGCGACGATGAACCGACTTGGAACGAAACTTGGCAGACGTACGAGAACGTGAACTCGCAGCTTGGCTGTCAGCCCATGTTGGATGCTCCGGAGACGGTGGGCCACATCACGATCAAGGGATACACGGAGGAATACTTCGGTATGAAGCACCACCAGATCGCCCGGAACTTCGGGATCACGATCGGAATCATTGTGCTCTTCCGTATCTGGGCTGCTCTGGCGCTGCGTTTCATCAACCACCAGAAGAAGTAGGCTCTCCTGTGTAGATATCAAGTTCGTATGAATACATGTGCAATGCCAATATAAACAGAAATATTTTGCATCTAAAGTACTTTGCGATAAAGAAACCAGAAGTGCATTCACGAACAAGTGGCCCAGTTCTCCAAGTCCAACGATAACTTCATTCTCGCACATGATTGCGACCTCCTTATCGACGCTATGCTGACGCAAAGTCGCTTGATATTAGAAACATGTTCGCGATTTATGAGTTTCAGTAATCAGCTCTTTAGTAAACCCGCCGTTTCTGGAGAGCAGCCTAAAGGTGAAAACCAATAGTGCTCGGATCATTCGTCCTATGGTGCTGTCAAGCGCAGATTGTAAAGTGAATTTTGAAGTGTGCTTTCTTGCCGCCATGCCGTACTATATAGTCCAACAGATTGAGCTTTCAATAGGATACCTCCTCGTCAATGGTATAACGAAGGACCCCACTGATGCAAATAGCTCCGCACATTTGCTACTTTTCCTTGTTGCTTTGACGGAGAAGTGGAAAAGGAATGGAGGTTTCTTGACACCGAGCTATGTCAATATATCCAGTACTTGGGTGACATGCTTTAAATTTAATTGTTTTCTAATTCTGCACAAGCGTCGGCAAACTTTTTGACAGATTAACAGGAGGCACGGGTGACCCCTTCACAAATAATAAATATCAGATAATGAGCTGTTATCGTAATGAATAGATACTTCAATAAACGTAACACCCCTTATAATGAAAATTACAGGATTAAATGTTGTTCTCCAGCTTCGCTCAAGGTTACACCATGCTGAATTTTGTGCATATAGTCCAATAGGAGCCTTTCATCCAGCACTGCTTGAGCAGCGTCAGGAACAGTGTGGTTGTCAAGTGGTCGCTCTTAAGCTAGCGTGGGTCAGCTGCTCGAGCTGAGGCGATCGAAATCACGCCCTTTACCGATGAGCTCCCATTTTTTGGTTAGTCATTATTCTGTTTTAGCAACTACCGGTAGCAACTATTATGATGACGAATCCGTGATTTGTTGTGTGCTACATGTAAGAACTTTCATTCTCTATTCCGCGTAAAAAACTCTTTATGCGTGAACACCTCGTTTTAAACATGCGACGTCTGTGGTGATGTTGCTTGCCAAAGTACCAGTACCAGCAGTTGTGAAGTAATCTTAGTATTCGCTCCAGTCTCGTAGTAGCTGAGCGCATTAATTCTTTGAATTTTAATTCTCCAAGTCCGACATTAACCGAAATCCAATCCGCTACTCGTTTCGGTTGCCCATTCCTACCCATGACGGAAACAGCAGAACGAGAACACATTAAATGTGTAAAATGAAAGAAAAAAAATAAAGAAAGCGTTCATTTTGGAGCAGTTGTGAACGCTGATAAATCAAGGAAAATAATTATTCGAGTACCCGAATCAAATCCGAACAGCTGCCAAATCGACCGGGAATATCCTCTACTTGTAGGTCGGGTACGCTCTGCAGCTCACCATCCGGCCCCGATCATCATCTCCCTCGTGCACACCGTAGTGGCCTTTGGAGCAAAATTAATTTGAAGTAATACACTTTGGTTTAAATACATAATATATAATATTGACACTACTAACAGGGCTACTTGCTTTTTACGTAGGGGAACTTGTAAGAAGCCATTTGTTTAGATAATTTTCTAAACAATCGCATGGAAAATCGTGCCCCATACAGATCCTTCCTTAGCTCTGAAATAAATTAGGTACAGATAATAGAAGAGGGTGTACTTTATTGAAGTATTTTGTAATGTGGATTTGTTGAAATTTGTTTGTTACTTAGAAACTTGATCTTTCTGCAGGTAGCCGATGTCAAACAAACGTGAATAATTCCAAGGCCACTAGCTACTAAATGCCAAGCACTAGCATTTTCTCCGCCAGCTTGCGAAATCGAAAGCTACAATATACATTTGCCCACAATAATGCCCCCGTAATTTCGTAGCAAGTCTGTCATTCGGGCAATATCAAGGGTCTCTCTTTGCTACTTGCCTCAATACGCCTTAAAATGGTCGCTTATACTTGTTTTTATTTTTTTATCATACCAAAATATGTTTTCATGTTTTATTTTTTTTGTGGTTAACACTTGGCTGCCTGTTATCACAAATGCACTACCCAAGATGCGCGCCCCTGAAACTTCTTGTGCATTGTTTTTTTTCCAGCTAATTCATGTCAAATTGACGTTTTCGAGCTGCGGGTCTCTCTTCGGTAAATCTCCACGCTTGACTAGTGCGTTTTTCTTCTCCGCCGCCTCCAGAATCTTTACCATTATTGGGCGCCTGCCAACCAGTTTTTTCGCGTTGCCAATCGGGACCTATAGTGGTTCACACGCACGTAAGCTTCCCAATAATGCAAAAACTATTTTTTGCCGCATATCTACTCACATCAATTCTGTAGCGGGAGCTTTCGGCCCAATCGTCAAAGCGTTGGACATCATCCATGGTGTAGGCAAATAATCCATATCCTTTGTCGCCGTCCTTGTACGTAAACTTGCCTAGGTCGTGATTCAGACGCGCTTGAATCTGCAGAACGACGATTAGTAAAAAATATTTATAAATATACAAAAAAACATTGCAAAAAAATAGACGTACCCCTGCTTCCTCTATAACCTCGCGCAATGCGGCTTTCTCAATGCCCTCGCCATGGTCCCAACCTCCCTTTGGAAGAATCCAATCGTTCGGTTTTTTCGAGCTTGAAATGAGGAGGACGTTATCTCCATCACCGATCACAACGGCAGACAGCAGCCGATTATTCTCCTTGTCGACGAGCTGGCCAGCACGTGCTACATGGGCTTCTAGATATTTCTGAGGAGCAATTTTCATGCCCTCAAAGGGCTCGATCTTTTTTCGCATTCCACTGCCAGTTTTCTTGTCAAACACGCGATTATCTTTCAGCCTTTGTTCGTCCACTTTCGCCAGCTGTCTCAGTGTTGTAAGGCTTAGCTTGTCGGCAACCGAATACTTTCCGGAGAGATGCTTCACGAGACCTGCATGCTCCATCTTCTCGACTGCTGTCTTCGTTGTCGGTGCTACGTGCACTTTACCCAGCTTACCAGCAACGTCGTCCATCTTCCCCGTTATCCCCAACGCGTCGTCTACTTTCGTAATCAGGTCATCCACCTTGTCAAGACCACCTCTATCTTCATCATCGGACTCGATGTCCGCCTCCTCTTCGAGGTAATGTCGACGCAGGAACCGGTGGACTTCGGCAGCAATAGGGAATCGCTCGGTGTTCGTGATACCGACGTGCTCCGAGGAAGTAGCCGACGCAGATGAAATCAGGACAAAGAGAATCAATAAAACTCGCATCTTTTGTGGTGGAGTTCGGTGTGGTGTCTTGAGGTTGCGAGAGCAGATTGCGAAGTGTAAATCGACCGTAAATGTCTTCACTACATGTATTGTAAACGCTGGCTGGTGGCGATCCAGATCGTTTTAAGTTTTCACGAAGCATGTAATCACACGAGATCGCAAACAAGATGGCCAGTCCAAGCACACTACCGTACTAAATGATGCGCTTAGTGACTGAAAATGAAAGGGCTTGGGATGTGCTTCACAATGTCGAAGCACGATCGTCCTTGTCGGCCAACCAAACAACGCGATGTTAAAGCTGCCAACCGGTATCCTGCATCAGAATAAACCTTTCGAGGAGTTGTTGTCACAGCCGGCAGACTGCAATTTGCAATTTGCAACCGGATGGCATCGTAAAACTACTAAATAGTGGTTATGAAGATGCAAACCATTTTCAAAATAGTTAAATTTTGAAGTACACGTATCAATAAGAAACATGTTTCATTACACACTGAAGTCGCGCGCTGTTATAAATAATAAAGCACATAGTCATTCACAGTAGTTATTGTGAAGAGGGAACCAGTTTTGGTTTTGCTTAGCACGACAGAACGGTTACTAGAGCATCTACAGTATCATGAAAAAAAACAGAAACCAGCTGTTCAAATTAATCGTCCTTTTGTGCAAGGTTATCCTAGAGACGTGCACACCCCAAGAGCATTCACACAGATCGAGTCTTTTCTGCTTGGCTACACGAGTTCCTTCTGTAGTTTACACCTGTTCAGTGCTTCTTTTCACCACTCTCTTTGAAAATGCGATCAAGATATTATAATGCTGAAAAACTGGTATGTGATCGTGCGTAGTGTCCTCTGCTATAGTCAATAGTTTTGACAGAAAATAATGATATACATGTAGCTGCTGTTTTTGAGCCGTAGCTTGCAACTCCGATTTTTCTACGCCATCCATTGCCAATCAGATATCCCCATCAGGTTGCCTACAGCAAGAAGCTATTACGAGGTGTGTTACAAGATCGGAACGTTGACTCGCGCTATTGATCGAAATGTACTGTATCGCCTATAAATTATGACAAAAAGCTTTCTTTGCTCTAATTCACGAGGAACCGAATGGCGCAAAGGAACGAGATAGCTCACTCGTTACCATACTATAACATAATTTTGCTTTTGCAAGTCATATTTAGCCGCCCTCTGTGACTAATGATGGCCTCGACACGACACCGGAGAATAGTTAAAATTATGCTTACTTAATTATTAAATCTCGAAGATTTGTCACCACAAAAATGGTTTTGTGGAAAATTATCATCTTCAAGTCATTCCATTCGATTCTATTATCTAGTGACACTTGGGAGTACTAAGCTGTACTTCTTTCTGGGCTCTGAGGAGCCTGATCGACTGATTAATTATGTTTTAAAAGCATTAGGATTTTTTTCCTTTTTTACGACTCAGTTCCTCTGACTATTTCCCAGGCCCATTACTGCTGTTACTTTGTGATAAATAGTAGTAGCATTGTAGTTGTAATGGAAGTTGTAAAAAAAACTGAGGAACCAAGTGTCAGACAATTAAAAAAATCTGATCACGTTTATCTTAAAGCTTGTCGATATTTAGAGAAATAGGCTTTATTCGGAAGGGTGCTTTATTCGGGCGGATCCGCTTGTGTTTTATAGTAGTATTGCAGTAGCCCATAATACTGATTTATATCCACTGATTTAGACCTGCGTAAGTGCATAAACCAGCTGAATATCATGCTAGAGCGAAGTCCAATATTTTGGCAGCTTTTTTTTTTAAATGTCCAGATGAAAAAATCGACGACTTTTATGTAGCATCATATTAAATCATGTTGATGCAAAGGCTGTTTCATTTGCACTTCATCGTTTCCCGCGCAGCACGAGGAAGTGCTACCTTCTGCACGTTTTACTTCCGAGGTGTATAATTTTAAGCGATCATAGTCCGCTACATGTGCACATGTCCGACTTGGACCATTTATTCTACTCTAAGTCCATTCAATTCAACCACTGTACCCATTTATTGGTACATTTGGCAACATTCTACCCATGTCCTTCATCAAGATAGCGTCTACAAAAGTGTGGTGGGTCACTTTCGACACAACTCCGACGTCGCCACCTCCGCGAAAATGTTGTTGGTTGCATGAAGAAGGGACGAAAAGCAATGATCCTGAATCTTCATTTCCTTTGAAATACTCATAATGTTGCTGCGGTTTGAAGACATGTACATCTTTACGATAGCCTTGTACGCTGTAAAACAGCTCGTCGTTCCGTTCAACATAGGCGAGTACCGCATTAAAATACTCTGCCAAATACATGTCTGGTTTTGGCTGCTCGTTCTGCATTAAGTATTTTGGAAGATCGCTTGGTAAAAAGTGTAAGCGTCATGGCCCTGTTAAGCAGAAGCTGGGATCAGGAGCCTGAGCAAAACGTTTAAAGCTCCGGTTTCTACCTTCGCGATCTTTGGGAGTGTCTCTAATAGACTACTATCATATTGCTAGTCGTCTTTATGGGGCAGACCACTTATTCTTTGTCCATCCACACGTTTTCAGCGGCTAGCTAACTGAAAAAAACAGTCGGTCTCTTCTAGAAGCACTGTACTACCGACGCGTAGCTACCTGCGGACGCTGTGTTCATGCTGGTGTAAGACAGCCTGTCGTGGATGTGAATTTCTTGACGTTAGGGCCGTCTCATCAGCTGTGTTAAGCCCCTATTGCTGTTACATATCAAAACTATCATTGCAGTAGTCGTACTGCAAATGTATAAGATATTGCAGGTATGAATCAATTTAATTATCTCAGATCGAGCTGAACAACTGACTGATCTATGCTATATTAAAGGAATTGTAACACCAGCTGTATCATGTTAACCATGATGGTAAAAAACACGATGGGCGTCATTTATTGAAATTTATCCAAAATGATTGGGAATCTCCGGCTGCTATCCTGCTTAAGCCAATCGTAGAGACAGAAACGCTACGTGGCAGGCTATTAATTGCAAAGAATTCTGCAGCAAATTGTGGGTCTTTTCGACAGCCAGAATGAAGGGATAGGGCTTCGAATTTGCAGAATCCGACGTCAGATTCGGACTCAGCACCCATTTTTACCCTATATATCTAAATGTCGATATAGGTTTTAGAGCGGCAAAACACCTTAATTATAGCGCAAAGTCCGTCCACGGTTTGGTGGCCGGGACAATAGTTAACATACCCCCGTAGCGACACCAAGTGGTATTTTGTGACCAATCCACGCTGGATGTAGGCTTGAGCATAGCCAACGATTATTGATCTAATGTCTCAGCACCTTCATTCCGTGACGGCCGCAGCATCTTTTGCACGTCTCCTGCTGCATTTGTGGGGTTTCTCGTGGAACGTTTTGTGCCATTTGTGACCAGGTTCAGTGAAAAAAAGGTGGTATTGAAAACGTTTTCCCCGAAACCTGGAAAAATGTCGCAATTTGTTTTGGGCTCCAGGTTTCAAGCACTAGCTGAACAGTCCCATTGTATACCAACATCATCAAATCGAACATTCACCACAAGGCTACGGTTTTTGAGCTCTTGAGACGTCTCACGCAGGTATCGAACGATGTCTAGAACAGGCTGTAAGCAAATTAAATAACGACATCGTATGAATCCGAGGCAGGAAATTGATTGTGCGGCTGCAGAAGCGATCGAAGAAAGAGAGAGTGATGCGTCTACCGCTGCAGCTTCAGCGTTGCTTCACGAAGACTGCCGCTTCAATCGCTGCCAAAACAAAGCTACCTGGTGTCCGTCATCCATAACGATCTCCATATCCATAGGAATATTCGGCACAGCAAACTACATATGTGCCGTCAAATGGAGCGACATTAGGTTCAATGCGTTCCACCCTGTTGTCAACCTTGTCCTGAAATGTACAATCGCCATCAGCATGTCAGCCAATGTAGCGGTGCTCTAGGAATTATAGGGCCCCTTACCAAATCTCCGTCGTCTCTAGGCGCTATCTGAGCGATGTTTCCTCGTGCCGGCTCGACGCCTGTCGTGATGAGAGTGCCAGCTTCTTTTTCTAGACCCAAACGAAGACGCCTCCATGGTGCTAGGTCTGCCACGTAGGGTTCTCCCCAGAAAGTACGAAATAGGGAGGAGGGGGTAAATGTCACGAAAGTAGCGAGGAAGCGTAGGAGCGTAGACGGCGAGTACGGCGCCGTAGACAGTTGAAGGGGGGGAGAGGAGTTGCTGCTCGAAAGCAAATTGAGAAGTGATTAATCAGTTAAAGTTGGCGGCGGCAAGCTAGTAGCTGCCGCACAACCAGTAGTTCTTGACAGCCGGATATTCACGCACCTATCCAGGTCCATCCTAAAACCTATCTTTCTCAAATCCTGATTTTCTCTGTAACTACCAATGAAAGCCTATGAATCCTAATTTCTATCTTGGTCGAAAATTTCGCACAGCGTCCCATAATCACAATTTCCGGCTGGAAGCTTGATTGTTGCAAATCCATGGGATTTTGGACCAAAAGGATTGTAGTATGATGTAAAGACACGCAATCTTAAGTTTACGCTGATCAGAATAATCTGACCAGCTGAACTCAAATAATTGACGTGGCAGTTCACTGCCATGCCATTGGCTAGTGACCACCACGTCACATGACCTCCCTTCGAAGAAGAGCCTCTCCTAGAGAAAAGGGTTCTCTTTCTTCTTTGACTTCCAGTAGAGGTCGATGAGTCCGCGAATTTGCGTTAGATTCTCTACGGGCTCCTAAGTGGCTTCCTTCTTGGTTTCACCAAGCCACCAGATCTTGTATTGCGGTTTTTTCTTGTACTTGCGATGTCCAATGACGGCTTCAACGAGTTGGCCCTTGGTACCATCGGCTAACACAACCATATTCACCTTTTGCCTCCGCTTGTGATCTTTGCGGTACGGCTTCAATAGTGACGTATGGAACACCGGATGCAGCTCCAATCCTTGCGAAATTCCTAACTCATACGAGTCTCGAGACACCTTCTTTAGTATCGGGAAAGGTCCAATA